AACAGGTGAATACTTATATTGCAATTTGAAAACAGTTTTAAGTAATATGACAACTCTATGTACATTCTAGCACATATTGTGAGAGTCTGGAGAGCTACCACATCAAAGAGAAAACCTCAAGCATGTCCTGATGAAAATCAAAATCACCCTAGTATCCCTTTTCCTCTGTGTCCTGACTTTGACTGGAAGAGAACCTGTGTATGTGGCAGCCCTTTGTATGTCCTTATGCTACATATTTCTCTGTTTGGGCAAGCAACAGGCCAAAAGTGCAGGAATTACTGTGGACACTCAAGCTCAGTGATTAAATGCAGCATTAAACATTACCAATGCCTGCAGAATTGCACAAATTTTATTCAAAAATAAGGAGGATGTGCTGTTAAATATTACTGAAATTATGCCAAGCATAATAATGTTTCTTCTTCAATTTTCACTAAAAATTTCATTCAAGGTTGGTTTCTTCTTTTTATAATTGTACACAGAAAGGAACAGCCAATCTCCATTCAGTATTCAGAGAACTTAATGCCAGAAATAACTGCTACATCATCTGTTCTTTTGACCTTTTTATATCATAGTTTGTGTCTTCTACTGACTATCAGTAGGCCCAGTAATTTGTGTTTTATTAATGCTTAAATATACTTTGAAAAGTCTATGGTCTTTATTTAGGAGCCTGAGTCTTCAAACATTTTTATTTTTATTTTTTAATATGCTGATATTTAAAAATCTTTCATAATGCAGAATATCTGCCAGTTCTCAAATAATTATTGGAGCTTTTAAAGTGTTTCCATTAAAATGTGACCATCAGATTCAAGCACTTTGTTCTAATGCATTACTATTGCTTACAAAAGTAAATATATATATATATTTAATTGACTATGTTTTCTTCACAGTTTCTGTCTGTCAGAGGTTCAAATTAACTCTGCTATGTTGCATTGGAAAATTCTGTTCACTTACTTCTTCTAGAGTAATTCCTACACCAGGACATGAAAAAGACCAAGGTACTCAATACCTCAAAGAAACTCAATAGTTTCTTTCCTATTCTTTCCTTTCTTTCTTTGGTTCTGCATTCAGGAATCACACATCCCTGAGACCAGAGGGAGTCTGAAGCCAGGAAGGCTTACCCTCAGTGGAAGAGTAGCAGGTTATGGAACATTTAAATATTTAAACTGAACATGGGATCAAATGCTGAGGGAGCTGGTTGATGTCACTGTGAAGGCACACTTGATTATCTTTGAAAAATTGTGGCTATTGTGGGAGGTTCCTGAGGCCTGGAAGAAAGCAACTGTTACTGCTATCTTCAGGAAGGGCAAGAAGGAGGATCCAAGGAACTAGAAGCTGGTCAGACTAACCTTGATGCCTGGGAGGATGACTGATCATATAATCCTGGAAGCCATATCCAAATATATTAAGGACAAGAAGGTAACTGGGAGTAGTCAGCATGGATTCATGAAAGAGAAATCCTGCCTGACCAACCTGGTAAACAACTATGATGATGTGACCAGATCGTTGGACAAGGAAGGAAAAATCAACCAACCAACACACACACACACACACACACACACACACACACACACACACACACAAAAAAAGATATTGTTTGCTTTGACTTTAGTAAGGATTTTGACAATGTTTCCCACAATATTCTCAGACAAAATGATGAAGTATGCACTAGCTAAGTGGACAGTGAGGTGGACTGAAAACTACCTGAACAGTTAGGCTTAAAGGGTTACAACCAGCTGTACAAAGTCCAGTATCTAGGGGAGTACCTCAGCTGACTACACTGTCTGATGCTCTTTAGCATCTTCATCACTTACCTGGTTGATGGGATAGAGCATACCTGCCACAATTTTGCAGATGACACAAAACTGGTAGGAGTGACTGATGCACTCCTAGAGGGTCCTGCTGCCCTTAGAGGGGCATGGACAGGCTGGAGAAATGGGCCAAAGGTCAAAGAGTCCAGAAAAGGGCCACAAAGTTGATTAAGGGCTAGGAGCATCTGACATGCAATCAGAGGCTGAGAGATCTGTGACTTCAGCGTGAAGTATTCCTAGGTGGGATCTTATTAACGTGTGTAAATAACTGATGTCAGGAAGAAAGACAGTGAAGCTAGGCCAAGCTAGCTCTGTGATGTCCACTTACAGGATAAAACACAATGAACAGAAACTGAAACACATGAGTTTCTCACTTAAACTTAAGAAGAATATTTTTTTGCTCTGGAGGTAGTCAAACACTGGAACAGGTTGTCCAGAAGGGTTGTGGAGTCTCCATCCTAGGGGATATTCAAATCCAACTGGACACAGTCCCAAGCAACCTGCTCTAAGTATGAATACTCTGAATATAAACTGAAAACTCAGAATATAGGGGTTGGATCAGATGATCCCTAGAGGTGCCTTTCAACTTCAGCCATTCTGTGATTTTTTTCTGTAAATCATTACTTGACAGGAAATAGTATGACACTACAAGTATAGTTGAATCATATTTTTTCAACAAATGGGCACCTTCTATTTTTATGTAATTTATGTTCTCCTTCACATATGGTTTTGATATGGTCCACGTTAAAGAAAACTTTAAGTCTTCAGGGGTAATTTACCTAGAGTTATAGAACCATAGAATATCCTGAGTTGGAAGGGACCAACAAGGAACATTGAGTCCAACTCCTGACTCCACACAGGACCACTCAAAAATCAGATGACATGTCTGGGAGTGTTGTCCAAATGCTTCTTGAATTCTGCCAGGCTCTGCCCATGACCACTGCCCTGGGAAGCCTGTCCCAGTGCTTGACCACCCTCCGGGTGCAGAACCTTTTCCTAACATCAAGTCTGACCCTCCCCTGTCCCAGCTCCATGCCATTCCCTTGGGTCCTGTTGCTGTTACCAGAGAGATTAGAGAAAAGTTGCTTACCTGACCCTTACTAGCCAGCAATTCCCTTCACAACAGAAAAGGCTGTTTTCTACTAATTTGAAGATGGTGTTCCAGCCCCACATGAAATTGTCACAGAAATGCATGGAGTAGTGCAAAAATGTAAATATTAGACCACATTAGGGTCAGAGTAAGTAACAGGACAGCAACAAATACAATGATGAAGTAGAAGAATAAAAGAGCTTCAAAGCTGGATACAATATAATTCCATTTAAAGTGACAGGAAGAGTAAAAGTGATGTTACTAAAAAACAAATTTGGAAGTAAAGGTATCTTTTATTTCTTTCTTTCTTTTTTTTTTTTTTTTTCAAAGCAGGAGACATAATGACCTGGTTTCATCATATCTAATTTAGGAAAATAAGCTGAGACTGCTAGGAAAGGCTAGTAGTAATTGGGAGCAAAGAAATGCATCCTACAAAGGTGAATCCCCTCACCACTAAACCCTTCTGCAGGAAGAAACTTGTGACATTGTGTTCAGGTCTTAATGAGACCTCAGTATCTATAGTGTAGAAGACTCTTGGGCAGTCTTTCAAATCAGCACACAGTAGAATTAAAAGCTTTTCATAACTGTCAGGTAACCTAATAAATCGTCTTCCTTACAGCAGTGTAAGGACTGGATATTAACAAATTTCTGGGCACATATATCTCAAAACTATTTATAGAACTGTCCTGGGGCACCTCAGCAATGGAAGCAAAACCTAGTGGTGGCATAGGGCATGTCACATGCAAGTGGAATACGATAGGGGAAAATGGGAGTTTGGTGGGGCATGGGGGATCTGACAGGGTAGGAAGGCTGAGGGCTTCATCACCTGTGTGTGATGAGATAGGGTTGAGATACATGAGTTACTCAGGGAGCTGTGTCAAAGGGAAGAGGAAAGGCCTGCATGGATTCTGGGTCTGGAATAGCTCAGTGACTGTCCAGGCTATGAAGATGGGGAGAGGCTTGGGACAGGATGTGGAAGATTCAGGAAGCTGTACAAAGTGTCAGAGAGGCCCAGAACCTTCTTTTTCTTTTCCTTTTTTTTTTTTTTCATTGAAAATTCCTCATTTATCAGATGATTGGATTAAAAATCCGGAACGCCCATTCCCATATCCTCCCATATGGAGTTATAGAGGGAGGGACAGGTATGCAGTGTAGTACAGTCACTCATTTCCTCTGCTCCTTACAAAGTCTTTTTTACACTGTCCCAGAAGTTTTTCACCATAAACACCTGTGTTTTTTTTTCTCTTTCTTAAAGCTAACTACCTAGTAAGTACTTGCAAAACTTAGAAACATATGCAACTAAAAAAAAAACAGCCATTGGATAAAAATTATCATACATCTACTCTTGTGTGTAAAAAAAATGGTAAGAGATTAAGATTCCTAAACACCAGTGAAGTCACCCATATGACTGCATGGATGCCAGAACATTACATGGCATTCCCTGCAAGCTATGCTGTGTAATACAATACATCTTTATGTACATCACTAAGAATGCATGTAGGTCTCAAGACTCCACCTGATTGACTCTGAATACTTAGGTGACGTTGTAACAATTCTACATGCCCACAGAAAAGTAGTACCAAGAGAAGTAAAGTACTGGTGGTACATGTACATAACAAGCTGTTATCTGCATTGGTACCATTATTCTGTTAAATTGTGCTTACAGCAGCTCTGAATGACATTTGATCAAAACACATTGGGCACAGGCACTTTGCCTGTTTACACTATTCCTATTTACACTATTTCCTATTCCTGTTACACTACGTTCGATTTACACTAATTGGATCGACCTAATGACAGTAATATTAACACATTTATGGAAGTTCATACAAGCTAAGAGTAAAAAAAGTTAGAAAGCAAGGAACATTTTGTAAGAAGTCAAAACTGTACTTGTGAAATGAAAGGTGTGTCTATTTTGGATCTTTCACACCACCAGTAAATCACAAAATTACCAGTTTAGGAGTGTATGCAACCTACTGTTACAGAATACATGAAATAGAAAACCATCCTGCACAGTTTCAGCAGGACATCAGAATTTTTGTCTCAAAATTCTCTGTTCAGTCATTCTTCTCCTTGAGCTAAAGAGTGATCTGTTTACTTACCCTCATTTCTTTGCCCCCTCAAAACTCCTGGTCCCCTGCACAGAGACTTCCAGATTTTATATTTCTCAGAAATCCTTTGTACGTGTCTGCATATTTTCCTTTTTTTTTTTTTTTTTTTTTTTTGTGGGGGCACAAAAGGGAGGAGGCAGGAAGTAAGCCCTTGGCATTTATGTTGTTCTCAATTGGAGGGCATATTCAAGGACATTTTAGAGAATGTCCTTGTAAACTGATTAGATTCTAATATTTATCTGAGAACAAAATTAAGAAGCATGTCATTGTTGCACAGATTTCCCAGTATCAGCCACAGGAACATCATGAATTGTTTCTTTCTTTCTTAACCAAAGATAAATGCTGTAATATAATGCACTTCAAAAGCAGGACTGCCAACCTCTCAATTTGCTACCTTCACCTATGAGAAAAAAAAGACTCCAAAATATATGAATTTCATAGAATGAAAATGTCAAGGCACGGTTGCTGAAGGAAACGCCTTTTTAAGTAAGGAATGCAAATGACTATTTTTAGACTCGGGGCTTGTTTAATGGATGTCATGTGTTCTCATTGCAACTTTTCAGTACTTGAAGGGGGCTTATAAAAATGATGGAGAGCCACTCTTTGCTCAATCAGATATGGACGGGACAAGGGGAAATTATTTTAAACTAAAAGAGGGGAGATTTAGATTAGGGGTAGAAGGAAATTTTTCACTGAGAGGGTGGTGAGGCACTGGAACAGGTTACTCAAAGAGGATGTGGATGCCCCATCCCTGGATGTGTTCAAGACCACATTAGACGAGGCCTTGGGCAACCTGATGGCGTCCCTGCCTATGGAAGGGGGATTGGAACTAGATGACCTATGAGGTCCCTTCCAACCCTAGCCATTCTATGATTCTATGATTATACTTCTACAACAGCATTACACTTCTACAACACTTATTTTATTTTCTATATATTATTTGCACATCTCTCTTTAATACAGTTATAGATACTCTTCCCTAGAATATTTGTATCTGGCAGAGCACAGAAACAGACCAGATGTTACAGTATTAAATGGAGTAGTACTAGATGTAGTAATAGAATTACAAAACAGTATAGCTACAAAACTAGTACTAGATATAGTAATATTTTCAAAACCTCTTTAGTCATTCTGCTTTCTTCCCTGTGTCTGAAATATTTGTTTATTTTTCTGGCATGTATATAAATGCCTCCAAATTATTATGTTTTGATAGTATTAAGATAATATGTATATATATATATAAGATTTGAACACATGCTTGCATTTTAAGATTCATTTGTAAAACTAATTCTGTAATTTTGTCCAAATAATTGTATAATATAAATAATCAATTCACACAGAAATGGAAAGGAGAACAAACCAAAACATTCTTGGGCAATTCTGTTTCCAGAGAGAATTCCAAATGTTTTTGTCTCATTTTCATTTTGGCTTTCATTTGTAATTGCTAAGGTATTTTGTTTGTGTGCTTTGTTTTGTTTTTGATATTACCAACATATAAAAAAATACTGAAATTTCTCTTAGAGAGCTCACTTTCTAGGAAACTTTACCTTAAAGGAAAAGTTTTGACCTGATGATGCAGGAAAGAGAACTGGAGATCATGTCTACAGTTCAATGATATGCGCATAGATTATAGTTCTGTCTTCCCCACAAACCAGTCTGAAAGATAGACTAATGTAGTAGGAACATAGCCAAATCTTTTACCAGAAAAATAATAGCATGCAGCTTTGAACCAGAGTCCTTAATTTGCCTGAACAAATTGTATTTGATTCATTAAGTTGAGTTAAACAATAGTTGTTTTGGCAAGCTTTCAATGTCAAACGGTCATTTTAGCCTTTTGTTGTATTTCAACAGTGTTCTTTTGTTTTACTTGTCTGATATATTTTGATCTAAACTCTGTATTGTTAAAATACGTTTTTAGGTTTAGGTCTATGATACTAAATTTTCTTAGCCTTCCCTGCCCACATCATAATTTTGCTATTCTATTACCTTCTTTGTATATTTTTCTATTTTATTGATGTACCATATTAGTTACCATGTTGCTATACTGAGTGTATTGAAAACAAAAAATATTATAAGAGAAGTTTGTAGGTTAAATGTTAATGTTTCAGCTGGAAATTATTCTACAATAATCCACATTCTAAAAGCTCCCTTAACATTATTAATTCTACATTGTATGTCCAAATAAGCATCCACTTAAATGAATGTGTATATCTATAAATGTATATATCTCATGTATATATAGATACACAATACAAATATGTATTGGACATATTTGAGTGAGTCCAAAGGAGGGCCATGAACATCATCAAGCGGCTGGAGCACCTCTCTTACGAAGACAGGCTGAGAGAGCTGGGGGTGTTCAGCCTGGAGAAGAGAAGGCCCTATAGCAGCCTTCCAGTGCCCAAAGGGGACCTACAGGAAAGCTGAGGAGGGACTCTGTCTGGGAGTGAAGTACTAGAACAAGGGGGAATGGCTTAACACTAAAAGAGGGTAGATTTAGATCAGATATAAGGAAGAAATTCTTCATTCAGAGACTGGTGAGGCACTGGCACAGAATGCCCAGAGAAGCTGTGGATGTCCCATCCCTGGAAGTGTTCAAGGTCAGGCTGGATGGGTTTTTGTGCAACCTGGTCTGGTGGGAGGTGTCCTTGTCCATGGCAGGGAGGTTGGAATTGGATGATCTTTGAGGTCCCTTCCAACCCAACCCATTCTGTGATTCTATGAAATTGCACCAGACTAAAAGACAGATGGCTCATGTCCTTAATTTATCTATCTATCTATCTATCTATCTATCTATCTATCTATCTATCTATCTATTTATCATTATTATTATTCTAAGGCATCTAATAAATATTTAAGCAATGTTCAGAAAACATATAGAGCCATGAACTATGGCTCTCATATTCTGGTTGTAAAAATGTCAGCAAAACATGGCTTACTATTGGGTTAAGGACATACCCTGCCTGATGTGGTACCACCAGCAAATCAGAAAGAAGGTGAAGGTAAAAGGGAAGGTGTGGGAGACAAAGGGAAAGAACAATCAGGAGGTAAGAGTATGATTTATTCAGTAAAGAATATTAAAGGAAAATGAGCAGTATCATTTTACAGAACAGCATAGCAATATTTGTATTATGGCTGTAATATCACATTCACAAAATCCCATTCCCTTGTTTTGGTTGCCTGTTTAATCTGTCCTGTTAGGCTTGACTTTCTGTGGCTTTGGGAGCTAAGAAAACTCTGAGTTGCTCTATCATATCACTATGTTTCACCAAATGAATGCTACAGTTGAAGTCCAGGTGTAAACTCCTGGGCTTTTGCCAGCGACTGCTGCAGGGACAGGTTTTCATACCTGAAGCCATGCAGAGTCCTAACCATCGAGACCTGCACAGCCGGACTTCAAAGAGCAGAGAGCTTAGGCAGCCATCCCCTTGTCTTCCCTAAAACCACAGCTGTGGAACAAGCCCACACCACTACAGCAGCTCTCCACTTCTAGCCTGCTGCCTGCTTCAGCAGCTCCTAGCTGGCTGGGAAGCAAATAAATAATAGTTCCTCTGAGGGTAACAACAAGGGACAGGAGATCAGAAAAAAAAAGGCAGCAACGAAGGGCAGGAGATCAAAACAAAGGCCAGCAACAAAGGGCGTACTGCAGAAAGCAACCAGGTACCTTGGTCAGCCTCAGGGCTGGCCTTGCAGCACAGCCCACCATCACATTTAGTTTTGGCAGCCTGAGCATCCCAGGGCAGGACTGCAAAAAACCTTCTAAAGTAACATAAAGAAGAGTACTGCTTTTCTCAGGAGCCAGTCATGAAAACAGCAATTTGTAAACTTATCTCTCTGCACAAAACTGGCAACAAAGTATTTGTTAATAATTACATTAATGAAACAATGTAGTGTCATATATGTAAGACAGGATTAGTAGTGATCCAAAACTTCAGCATTAAGTAGAAAGAGGTATCTGCACATTAAAGATGAAAAATATCAATATCAGATGTGAAATAGATAAAATATTATTATCTGACATATGCAATATATATTTGGTCAAAATTATATAAAAATAATCAAAACTATGCAAAATCTGTCTTTGGTGTTCAAAGCAAAGCTGTGTTTGCCTCAAAATGCAGTAGAGCATTGCAGAGACCCATTTGTATTGTAAACTCTAATTAGCTAACCGTCATCACAGTGAAAAACACCATTACAGTCTGTAGTTACAATATTAGTTGCAGAAGAATCTATTAGAAACTGTATTTCATCTAACCTTACTTGCTTTTCCACTGTAGGACATCAGAAAATTCCTGAAATTTGTTATTAAAAATTTAGATTTTTAGCATAAAGCCATGTCTCAGGGCATATTCTCTGTATTAAGGGAGAGAGAAAATGTTGTTTTGGCCTCTGACACCATAAAGATTGAGAGCATGAAATAATCTTAAATGATCCAAAGAAATAAAATATCACGCATTATTTAAAAAAAAATATGCAAAAAATAAAGGAAGAATTCCAAAACAAGGCTTTATGATACTGGAATCTGAGGGAAAATTGATTTCTGCTTCTAAATCCAATGCCTGATGATATCTTATTCCTGCCTGTTGCTAATCTTTAATACATTCCAGTCTACAAAGGAAGGGAATTATAAATCCTCTGGAGTCAAAGTTGTGCATCAAAATTTGTAAAAGTTTCTTCCTGTCTCATGCAAAAACGAAGCAAATACAAGATCCATGGGATTAATTGGGAATAATAATAAATCAAGTGCAACAAATACTGCCAGAATATTAAAAGCAAGTAACTGTCCGTAAAACACTTCATAAACTTCACAATCATCATACTTAACCCATTAAGGTTTCTTGCCTGCTTTACTTCATTTGAAAAACATCTTAAGTTTCAGTCATTTAGTAGTTACAGACCTTGTACAACCAATGTCTTTCATAAGTTTATTATGGGTAAACATTTCTCTCCAGCTCCAATGTTTATCCAGATGAAATTTTAAAAGAAATCTTAACAGCTCTAAAACTTCCACTTTGATAACATAAATAGACTTTGAACCTTCTGAAATACCTTATCCTATTTTATATTAGTCCTTTCAAATTCAATTCAAATTT